ATATAGTAACAAAAAGCAGAAGATTTTACATTGTTGGTTAAACATCTCATTTTTATGCCCTGCCTACCTCAGTGAAAACGCCAAAATTAACTTTAACAGCAATCAATAAAAAACTGCTTATTTATGACAGTCTGTCAATGGTTTAGAAAATATACAAGTAAGCTACATAGTTCTATTTATGCATTTTTCACGTGCTTATACACCAGTCAGAAAACTAAAATTCTTCCACTTGCTGCAAGACTGCGCTGAAACAAAACTTGAGACTTCAAAGCCTTTACTTGTGTCCAAACTGATAAGTGCCAAGCTTTGTACAGATTTCTATTGCATGTTTGTTTCATAAATGATGGCCAGTATGTTTACATTCTGATTCCATTCCCATTCATATAAGGTATTACAAAAATATAATTAGTTATCTGCAAATCTTGAATTCCAAATATTTTTACAATATTATTTCCCTAATACTTACCGTAAAATACTTCAAACAAACGAAGTCCTTGGAACTGCCTTTTTCCATGGCGACCAACATAGTTGTACTGACAAGCCAGTTCATTAGACATGAGATATGCCATCATTCTCCGTGTTGCTTCATCAACAGTTCTTCCTCCTATTTCACTCACAACACACACCTAAATAGAAATGCAAATAGAAAAAATATATTAAAATTGTATTTTATTAAAACTGCCCATACGTTCACAAAACATTTGCTTTTTAGAAAATCATGAATTTGAACTTTCATGTTATATGAACATTAGAATAAGTGTACAAACCATATTCTTAAAAAATTCTTGATCCTCTAGCTTTTGTTCCACAGCCTGGACATCATCCAAATTTTTTAGAGGAAGCATTCCCTCTGGAAGGGAAGGCGCAGTGTATGGCTTGTCTTGCTGTCTAAGAAGTGTCTGTAACATCCTTCCATGTACACTCAGGGTGTCTTTCATGTCTTCAAGTATTGTAAGAACTTTGATGAAGCTATCACGCTGGACACCTGAGGCCTTTGTGATATGTGGTTCTTTTGGGGTTTGTACTGATGTTACTGCAGACACAGAAGGTGGTGAATCACATCTTGGCTGAGCAGAAGAGAGCAGTGTCACTGGTGGTGGAGGAGGTGCTTTGCGAGGTGCACATGTTTCTTCTTCAGATTCAGAGGTAGAGAATCTTCTTTTCCTTTAGTCAAAGTCAAAGTCAACTTTATTGTCATCTCCACTTTATATAGTACAGTATACAGAGACAAGACAAATAAGGCACAAAAATATGCAAATATAATATAAATAAGCTTTAAGGTATAAGTAGAATATATAATGCAAATTTTACACTAGAAGTGGAGAGAGGGAGACCATGAGGTTACATGCAGTATTCAGCCTACAATTATACTATTAGAGTTGTGTTTTACACTGAAAGTAGCAGTTTCAGTATAGTTAGGCAAAGTGTATTAATAAATCATGGATATAAATGTCTTTGAAAAAACAAAAACCGAGAAAAAAAACTGAAAAAGCATAGAGATTTTAAAAAGAGTTTTTAAAAAAACATCTAACTTACTTTCTTTTCCGTGGTCCCCTCTCAGCCTCTGAATCAGTCTGAAGATCTGATGTCATCTCTGCTTTCTTTAGTTTTCTCCTGGCCTGTGAATAGCTTTCTATAACAGATTAAAAAAAATAAGATTATGAAGACTAATCATGGTAAAACAAGACAAAAAAAAGCTTAAAGTTCAAATATTACTTACCTGCTTCTCCCAAAACACGCACTCGATATTTCTCCCAGTTATGTCTGACATTGGAGCAGTCTTTAACAGCTTTGTCAGCATTGCTACTGTAGGTGGCCAGTAACATTCATTTTTTTCTGGTCCACAAAGCCACTTACATGGAACAACCGCAACTGATCCAGCTTCTATAAATTCAACAACTGCAAACAGCTCCATTTTTCTGTGACATAAAATAAAACAGTGGAAGAAACAGCAAAGAAATATAAAATAAATACAAAACATCGCTCAACAGTTGTGTAGTTGGGGTAGAGTGACAAAACGGTCTTTAAATGGTAAAAGAATCAGCTTCCTCTTGATGTCTGTTAGAGAAATAATATGCAATTGATCAGATACAATTTTGATCCCAAGACATGAGGAATCCAGAGGATGGTAAAAAAATGTCTCATATTTGGCAAAATACTGACATACAATGTAAGTTGTTTTGGATGTAGAGTACAAAATGTTCTTAACAAGGCCAACCTTACCACTGTGTTCAAAACAACTGTCTCCCTCTAATAATGAGATAAATATCTCTTTGTCCCTATACTCTTTGTACTGTAAACAATTAACATAATCCACTGGCACAGGTCCAGAGAGATGGTTTTTTTTGTGAGTTATGTATGCTGCTGTACATTTCTTCATTCTGGCTGTCTGTCTTTCGTTTAAACGGCACACAATCTGCTGAATGGGATTTTGAGGTCGCCTGACCATTTTTTTTAGTTTACCCAAGAAGTTCTCAAAGGGAAAACAAGACACATTGTCTAAGGGTCCAAATTTTCTTGCATCTTGCGCCAGATGAATTAAGCAGTGTACATTGTACACCACAAACTCACTGCCATAGATGTCACTGAAATTTTCTACAAAATATTTCATCAAGCCATCAGCATATTCACAGTACTCATTACAAAGAGCAGGGCTGAGTAAAATTCTTACAGCCACAGACAATACAAGAAAGTTCAAATACTTTTCACTTGGCAGGTTATTATACAATACAACAGGTCCAGTATATAATAAGAATTGGCGAAATTCTGTGGCTTTCCACTGTGCAACTTCCAACAGAGACCTGGGCCGTCTTGAAAAATTTTTCGGTAGATATCGTTTCATGAATTTCATTTGTTCAGAAATAACATTTATAACACCAGAAGATATTCTACACTTTAAAGGACCTTTTAACCACAAATAAATAAGTTTTCGAACAACTCCTAAGCAAATCAAATGCATATAATCCAGAACAAACGTGGTTACTAATCCCACATCCAGGTCCATTAGTGGAGACACATGACAATGGTGTTCATCATCTGTCATTTCAGAAAATTGACTATCTGTTCTTAAGGGTGCTGTGATTTCAGGAAATGTCATCCTACCATTAACATAAACTCCCTTCTGAGTACAACGCTCACATGAGCTGTACCCAGCGTGACCTTTTACACACTTAAGGTATGCTCTGGCAGGTGCATCACAAACAAAAGCAGTAGGAAAACAAACTGAGAAATGCCTCCCCTTAAATTCCAAACCAATGTCATTAACATATTTTGCATCATCAATGAATGCTTTCAAATAGTCATGGACAGAAGACGGCTTAGTGACACCTGAATAAATGCCTATTACAAAAACATGGCTACCTGGCATTTCATTTAGCATTCCAAGAATTGGCCACAACTGCACACTGGAGCTTTTAAACAGTGGCAGACCATCTATATTTATCTGAATAGACAGTGTCTCTGGTAGTTCTTGTAGCTCGTAATTTATCAAATCTGAAATAATTGCATTGGCAAGACCAAAATGATGATAAGATCCCCCTGCAATTTCCTGGATTTCAACACTTTGATTAGTCGAAAGCAAAGTTCTTGAGTCCTTCGGTACATCCAGGCCAGACTGTCTAAGAATTTTAAGCAGATCAGAGACAGCACTGTGTGAAATATTATGGCTGGTAGCCCATTCAGCTAAATGGTCCACAACATGACTTCTTGATATTTGTGATTCTGTACCGTTGTCATCACTGATGTTGTCAGATAGTATAGATTCAAGCATTAAGTCCGAGAATGAGTTTGTTTGTATTTCAGGAATAATGTACTGGCATTGTCCATCTGATATGCATGATTGTGACGTGCAGTGACTTGGGAGTTCTTCCTCAGAGGTAGTCGATTTGCCATCCTTAAGAACGACCTGAGTCTCAGAACCTGAGTACCAGTCAATAGCTTTCAAGTGTTCTTCAACTCTAGCTTTGACCTTTCTTCGCTTGGTCCTTGGGCAGGAAATTAAGAAATCTTCCATTTTACTGCTGTAGGAAATGTTTTAAATACATATTAACTTATTAATACAGAAAAATTCATGAAGTTAAGAAAATAAAG